TTAGAAAAATATTGAGTATTTTTTACTTTAGACCCCCTCCCCCCTCCAAAGTACCAACTAGATTCACTTTCTGGTCGAACGAGGTACTGAAGACAAAAATCGAAGCACTTTTACTACCCCAAAACGTGATGAAAGACACAAAAAAGAAAAAAAAACACACATCATGGTAAAATCAATACATTCATCGCTTCACTCTGAGTGAATCTGAAGAAAAAAAACACACATCGTTGTAAACTCAATCGCTCCGCTCAGAATCTAAAATTTAATAAATACTAAATAGTAAAAATATTTTAATGTATTAATATATTGTTGTATCATAACTTAAATTCTTAAAGCTTATAATTATTAACAGATGGAGATTTTTGCAATAAATCCTTCATTTTTTATTATTCATTACATCCTAGAACTTTTAAGAACATATATTCGAATAACACTTCAATTTAATTCAGTATAACACATCTGGAAGAACTGAGGAAGAGCCTTTGCAGTTCATCCACCAATTCGATCTTTATTGAATTCGCCAATCTTTTATACAGTCGATATTATTTTTATTTGTATACCTTAGTAATTAATTACATAGTAATATAGTTTTTAAATATTATATTCAAAGACAATAAAATAATTTGGACCCAGTTTTGAAAATTGAAGTAACATCATAACGTTTCTATAAAGAACTAAACTTTATAACCTTATATAATTACATTATCTTTTTTTTCGTTTTCTAACATTCTATTCGCCTTGTATATAATACTCTAAAACCTGCCATAATGTAATAATTTAAATTAGATATAGTTTAATAATGATGTATCTCTAAAATGTAAGCCAATAACCTTAGTTGATGAGGTTTTTAAAAAAAAATAATAATTTGTTCATAATACATTATAATATTGATTATACCAGTGGCACTAAATTAAATTAAAACTAAAAATTCAAGAAATTTTATAGATGTAGAWAAATAYTGTTGTATACCTATWACCTGCCTATATAGTATATTTTAAACTTTAGAATAATGTTAAAATGTAAAAATTACAAAGATATATGGCATTTTTATATATTTATTTTCTTTGTCACAACTTATATTTCTAATTTTATAATAAGTTGTATAATATMATTTATATCCATAAGTTTTAATAACTCATAAGTTAAATGTTAAATGTTGAATACTAAAACRTTATAATTTTGAGTGAAATGGCAGATTGGCAGAGGGCTCCTCGCAAAARTTGTAGTCCACTAATCTACCCATTTATATAATTATACGTTTAATATCTTATCGATAAAAAATTCAATATTTTATGTTCTAATCATTATCTTCAATCAAATTTCATTAATCATAAGTACTTTGGTCAACCAACAACTTTTTGTGGGATTTATTCGTGATAAAATGCACCAACGACAATAGTAGCAACTAAATTATTATTTTCAAACTTRGTCTTAACATATTTATCCCTGTTTATATCGCGTAAAAATTTTACTTCTGATAACACTCCTTGGCTTTTCTTTTCCATAATTCCGACAATACAAACGATTTTATACCTGAAATAATGTATAAAAATATATGATAAATAGTATTCAATTTTTTGAAAACGCGTTCCCTGATACCCTAAGGTTAATATCAATTTGAAATGTTTGGTATTATATGTTTAGGTTTAACAAATTGAAAATTAAAMTATTGGTTATACATTGGAACTCTAGAAATAAATTTTTAAGTATGTAGTTGTCAGGCTTAAATTATTAAAATTTCAACTTGAATATGGTTCAGCACCTAATGAATAGTTAAGCTTTTTAAAAAGAAATTTGCTCTTAGAAAAATTATAAATTTTAAAATAATTTAAATTTATCACGAATTCAAATACGTTCTTTAATCATAATAAAAATAGACCTTTAAGTAATATTTAAAATGTTTTGTCGTCCATTATTATTGTTATACCTATACTATAGGTGGCAGATAAGTTACAGATTTAACTACATAATGGGGAATAGACTCTGGTTTTCTATGTATAAAAATGTTGAAAGATTATATTATTTTTTTTAGCATATAATATTATGATCACTGATCACACCACACAGTGATGTAAAATAACTATTTAAAATGTATTTTAATAAATTTTWAAGGAAGCAACCACTATTTCTTCAAATCTTGCTGCCTTAGCAACAATAGATTACCTTTTTGGTTTATCACTGTTYCATTTGGTCAATTTTGAAAATTGTTGTTCGTTAAAATGCATAATTTCATTAATAATATGGTATATTAATAGAATGTTTTAACATATATATATATATAATCACTTTATGTTTAGGTATAAAAAGTTTCTAGTTTAGTACTATATAGTAGTAAACATGATTTATTTTAATCAGATGCTTCATTGAACAAACAAATCAAATAAATACCATAGTTACTTACTAAAATTTAAAAATAATTATTTATGTGTGTGCTAAAATTAATTATTCTGTTAATTTTAATTCTGACCATGTAAGCTATTAAATTAAAATATCAAATAATTTTACCTATCAAAATCCATTTCCCGAATCCTATTTCTTACAATAAGTGAAATATCAATACAGGTTTGTATTGCTTCGTTTTGATCGTACTTGGTTTCGTCGTTGAAATGGTTTTTAATTTCAGTTGTTAGTACTACTTTGGCTAGGCGTTCATCGAATGGTTTTTTCGAATCCATTCTGTACGTGTTCTCATACTTAATTATATTTTCCTGTATTTATAATTTATTTAATTAGTTCTTCAATCATCAACACCATTAATAATGTTTTTTGTTATATGTTATAGTTAATAATCAATCATGTAGGTATATGYAGATATATATAGGTACATATATTAATATTATTAAATTATATTTGTTTGATATTAAAGCTGTTTTGTGGGAATCTTTTAGTAGTTTTAATCAAAACTACCTAACAATTTTTCTACTATATGAATATGRCGTATGTATTTCATCTAAYTGATAATGGAGCGATAGTTTATTATTTTATGTTACATCATTTTTTGTTTTACATCATAGTCACGTAGATTATATGATTACCTATAGTCTAGATTGCGTTCAGTTAGCATCAAAATTGTACCTACCTTTTTAATAGCTCAAATGTTTTTTTTATATTTTATTTCGGAAAACGTCATAATATGTCAGTGATTTTAATTGTTAGAAAATTGTTACTTATTATCACATTTAACGTATATCTATGGAAAATAATTAAATTAAATAGAATTTCAAACAAATCAATTGTTTCTAAAGGTAAAAAGTATTAACTTACGGATAAGGTACAAAAATGTTTGTTGATAAATACATATAAAACATCATGGAGAATAAATAAATCAACTATAGGTATTAGGTATTGCTAGATCGATTCAATGGAGTTTGTCTTTGAATAATTTTTAAGACGATAAAAAKCCATATAAGGGATGTAACAAAATGAAGACTTACAAACTAAAAAGGTTATAGAGTATAACTATAGAGACATAGAGTTATGATGTTACATAGTTCAATTTTTTACTTCTGAAATATTAAGATCATCGATATCTTCCCCATCGATATCTGCCGGATAAAAAGATAAAATAGTATCGTCGTCCTGTGTTTCATGTATTTGTTCATTTATTGATACTTCTCTAGATGACATAGTTATTTATTACAAGAAACTTTCTAATACTAATATATTATGTTATATATTATAAGAAATATTTGTTTTTATCAACAACTAACACAGTATTAATTAAATCGTAAATTTTTAATACTAATTGTTTATGTGTACTTTAGTGTTTACAAAATTGCTATAGTATCAATTTAAAAGGTGTTTGGTTGTTAAGTTAATAAATTCAAACAAGTTGATGACAAATGACAATTAAATTGGGTTAGTTATTTACTTTATCAGCAGTGCCAGCATCTGTCGAATTTTACAAAGAATCATGAAGTTCTAACATTTGATAATATAGTGATTGCGTACCCCTTAGGCCTTTGAGAGATATGAAAATCTTCAAGCAGAATAGAAGTCTAGTAATGTATGTTTAGGTATTTTTTTAATAATTATTCGTATAATCACCTTAGTATCTTGTCTTTTCAAATCAAAATTTATCAGTTATTATATTAACGTTATTTTAACTTTATAGTTTAAGGCAGTGATTCCCAAACTATGCACTGCGGGCAAATTCTGAGGCACCGCGGTCTACGGCTCCTAATAAATCAAATTTTTTTTCTTCAAAAATGTGTTATTAATGAGTATTTTTTTGTCCTGACTTTAATAGTATTCACAGCAGTACACCATGGCTATATTTAGTCCTAAAAAGGCATCGTGGAAAAAAAGTTAGGGAACCACTGGTTAAGGTTAAAGGTACAGGTTAACCTGTACACATTTGCTTTCACATAATATTAGTATTGTAGTAGAACAATTTTAATAATTGTAGCTACTACCTACATATAAAATGATACAAACAGGATGGTGTRACGAATCCAAAATAGATTGGGAACCACTGAAGCAATATTATTTATATCTACTTATTCAATCAAAAAGGGAGTTCTATGATAGGCACTATTTGGTAGTACAGGTATATTCATAATTATTTGTACATTGTGTTAATATATATTTAATTTTAAATACCTACATTTATACTGCTGCTACTTTTATGCTACTGCTGGCCTCCAAATGTTGAGTTAAGAAATTGTTGAATTTTACATTAGGGCAACCTGTATACGCACGTCTATAAATGTGCATAGTATATTTTACTATTTTAGCATAGGTAAACTGTACAGTATTTTTATTTTCTTATATTTGATTTTGTACAATATATACCTCAACGCTTGTAATGCATACGAATTACATATTATGCTCATCAGTGCGCATTTCTGTCAAATAACTGTTGCCCAGAGGGGTGGTATCGGCTATGTACACTATGTTATAGTTGTTGTTATGATGTTTAGGCGTAAGTAGTCACATTCGCTTGGCAACCACGTGTGTAACTACCGTAAACACAATGTGCGGTACGTTTCTGGCTGCCTATAAATCACCACGCTTCGTTCGTGTCCGCACGGATTTTGTCCCGGAAAATATTAGTKTGGAAAATCGCGGACCGTCGATATGTCCGAAGAAGACGTGATACCGGGTAAGGCAGTATCTCTGCATGAGTGTATAATATTATCGCATAAACTTGACAGATTGTATTTTTGTATGATTCGTCCTT